TAAAGAGAGAGATGACATGCACCACCAATGGCTGGCCGTTAACTGGACTCGATGGTAACTTGAAGAAGCTTTACCAAAGTCGAAACTCATTATGTGTCGTAAATCAATGCTTGATGTTTGGAGATAGAATAGTGATGCCAGATTCCTTAAGATCAAGGTTGCTAAAGCAATTCTATACTGGCTATCCTGGTATAAAACGAATGAAATCCATTGCCAGAAGCTATGCTCATTGGTCCCACATAAACCAACACTCCTAGTTCAACTGACACTATTATAAGTGAGTCATTTGCTCAGGTTGACTTCATTTACACAATTGTACGTGGTAATTTCAACCTTCTCCCCATCAACTGAACGACACATTCTGACCCATTATGCTTTGACAGCATACTAAGGTCCCTAGACACACACGGTTGGCAACAACATGTACACCTGCTCACACGAAATCACAACATACTTGACTTGATATTCTGTCACAATGTCACACCAATATCAATGGTCGTTGGCGAAACGTTTCACAACAGCGATCATAAAATAGTCCTCTGCACCCTTCCGATTCTTGTCATGTGCAACAAATTAAAGACATTATATACGAGTTTCCAATATAGAGACTATGCAAACGCTGACTGGGAAAACTTTCGATTTCTAATAAGCCACTCTGAATGGAGCAGTTTCTTTGCCAGTGATAACCTCTTAGAAACATTAAAAATATTCAATACCACCACCAAATATGCACTAGACACTGCTATACCCTCTAAAATTGCTTTTAAAACAGTTACACCCTATATAAACCAAAAGACTGAGTTTAAACTGCGGAAACTCAAAAGGACGTAATATATATCAAAAGACTTCAGTGCCCTGCACCATTTATACTCTTTACTTGACGGAGTACAAAGTCAACACAACAAGCATAAACAGGTAGAGGAACGTACTGCGCTCACTATTGCATCGAAAGATCATGCCTTAAGTCGTCTTCTGGTGAAACGCATAAGAAAGAACGCAGATCACAACATTCACTTCTTACTGCACTATGGAGTGACGTATATTGACCAAACTGTCATCTCCGCCTATGCCCTGAAAGATTGCAGCCTGGATGCAATCAAGGATGAATTCTACTAACAGTTAACTGTTGTTCTACAGAAAGTGAGCTCGGCAGATATTGTAGTACTAGCCAGAGACTTGAATGCTCAGGTTGGGCATCCAGGCACAGAAGAGAGTCGTTCAGGTGGTTGATGAGGACTTGTTGGTCACAGAACAGATAACGGGGACCGTCTACTGCAACTGTGCACAGACCACAACCTGTTTCTGACTAGCCTCCTTCAAAATAAAAGTAAGAGAGCATTACAATGAACGTCATACAATGCCATGAGGCTACCAACGATTACAATGAAGAATTTATAGACTAATTATACGACAGGTTACAGTCAATCGTTGAGAAATGCGTAATATATATCAAAAGACTTCAGTGCCCTGCACCATTTATACTCTTTACTTGACGGAGTACAAAGTCAACACAACAAGCATAAACAGGTAGAGGAACGTACTGCGCTCACTATTGCATCGAAAGATCATGCCTTAAGTCGTCTTCTGGTGAAACGCATAAGAAAGAACGCAGATCACAACATTCACTTCTTACTGCACTATGGAGTGACGTATATTGACCAAACTGTCATCTCCGCCTATGCCCTGAAAGATTGCAGCCTGGATGCAATCAAGGATGAATTCTACTAACAGTTAACTGTTGTTCTACAGAAAGTGAGCTCGGCAGATATTGTAGTACTAGCCAGAGACTTGAATGCTCAGGTTGGGCATCCAGGCACAGAAGAGAGTCGTTCAGGTGGTTGATGAGGACTTGTTGGTCACAGAACAGATAACGGGGACCGTCTACTGCAACTGTGCACAGACCACAACCTGTTTCTGACTAGCCTCCTTCAAAATAAAAGTAAGAGAGCATTACAATGAACGTCATACAATGCCATGAGGCTACCAACGATTACAATGAAGAATTTATAGACTAATTATACGACAGGTTACAGTCAATCGTTGAGAAATGCGTACGAAGGACCTGACCATTCTTAAGAGTATCTCAAGTGCCTAGTTTAAATTGAACAACACCGAGTATGACGACATCATCGGGCGACATGGACTAGGTGGAAAATGAACGAAGATGGCGAGAGATTTGCAAACATTTGTGCCTTCAATAAACTGGTCAAAGGCGGCACCATATTCCTACATAAGCGCAAATACAAAGCCATATGGAATTCACCGGATCACATTACACAGAATCCAGTTGACCATTTCTGCACTAATAAGATGTTCAAGAGGGCGATAGAGGATGTTAAAACCAGCCTCACTTAACTCAACTAATATCGAGCAGCTCAGACAAACCTCACGATCAATTTTAGTAAACCAACAATTGAAGAAGGGCAGCATATTTACAACCGTTGGACATCTGGAACTCAAAACTATTGTCAAACAACACCAAAGTCACAAATTTCAATACAAATGTCAAAACGAATCTACTGTATGGGTCGAAAACCTGCAGAACTACCGAAGCTATCATACAGAAGATACAAATATTTAATAACAGTTGTCCACGCACAATACTTCGAATCCGTTGATCACCAACAACCGACTATGGTAGAAAACAAACGAGATTCCAACGGAGAAAGAAGCGCTGGAAGTTGATAGGACACACATTGAGAAAAACATACAATTTCATGACAATGCAAACCTTCACCTAAAATCTTCAAGGCCAAAGAAGAAGAGGAAGTCCAAACAACCCAATAAGACAAGCAACGAAGACAGACATGACCGAAATATAAAGAAAATCTAAGGTCAGATTGGGTTGCAGAATGCTGGTCGGTGGGCATTACTCGATTGAGTGCAACAGGCGTAAGTATGCAGGTGATCATCGTTGAGTGGAAGTAATCAAATTTCACGTGAGTTCGATTACACCTTCACGTGTCATCTGGTATTGAGATATCTCTTCATTTTTCAACAGAAATGAAATGGAATTCTTTGTAAGGAAGCATTCGTAGTTCAATATTTATAAAGCATTCCAAGTATGCCATGTCTCGAAAATTTCAAATTCACATTTTCAGATAATTTCATTAGAGAGATATATTAGACAATTTTCAGTGTTTGAAGGAACCTTGAATTCAGGTTTTATGGTGGTTGGTTAAAGTCATTAAAGTGTACCCTCAATCTTGACGTAACTAATACTCCTCGTGTGATCAGAATTAATGTTTTTATGAACAAAGACACAAATTCGCACTGTCGAATTTATTTAAACACAAAATTACACATTTCATTAATATTTCAAAACCATACTGCAAATACCTCATTTGTAACATATCAATCGATCATCTCAGATTTCACAGTCCCTTTAATTCCGCAACAATGAATCACTGTTCCTTCTTTCTTTCTTTTTGACCACCTGCTGACAAGTACTTCACCTTCGACCGATGACACCAACTACATTTATCCATCGATATCAGTAGCACACACCTGAATATTACACAAATTCGCAATATGAGAATCAAGTGTTACCTTCAGAGGCATTGGAAACACTTACGATAGTTTTATTTTCATCAGGTCACAGACAATATTTCAAGATCATTCACTAAGCCTAATTTGGTCCACCAAAATTTATATCATGCTTAGCTCGCTTTTCATGCTGATTGTTACACCAGACAGGTAGGTTTTTCCATATAATATATTCCCTTGACTCCTAAGTAGTTATCACAGTTATTAACCTATGTAGTTCAGTCGACAGTTTCCAAAGCTTAAAACTAATTGGTGAATGTGCAAACGAAATCAATGAATTGTTGACTTACCATTGTTGTCGATGTTAACATTGGGGTCGGCAAATTAGTTCTAGGCAAATCCACTGTTTCATATGATGAATTGATTGAACCAAAATTTCTATTACTATTATTATTATTAGTAGTAGTAGTGTAGTGAACAAGAACACGGGTGGGGACAATCGAATGTATTTAGCTCGAAAATTACAGACTATCTCAATAAAATCTGAATACCATAAAGTCAATCGTCAATTTGCAAATTATCAATACATCATATCAAACTGTACTGTTCAAGTTGTAAATACTAATCCATTGTCTCCCATTTCATTGTTCATAGGTTTTCTTACAAATTCCATTGCGTTCTTGCTCTTCTTTTCTTGATCTTCTCCATTTTCTGCTGCCAGACATTACATCCTTTTAACGCACGTTATATACTACTTATGTCAATATAAGGAGCTCACACCACACTCGTCCCCCCCTTTAAAGCAGTCGTTCTTGTGGTGGTTCGTGCTCGCCGTGCAACATTCTCCGTCTCTGCAGCCTGTGCCGCGCTCTCCGTCAAAATGTCGAGTCTGCGGCGCGCTGACTTCCGTAGCTCCGTCGACCTGCCGGGAAAACAACAACCGACATCCACCCGGCACCTGGGACGCTTGACACCCGTACTCCACCGGCCTGCTGAGCCATCTACATTCGATGTCCGCCCAGCAGCCGCGCGTCCCACCGCTCCTCTCCGCCGACAGCATCCACTACAGCCAACGCCGCCCCGCCAGAACACTCCACCAGACGCCGCCTCTCTGCACCATACTGCCCCAACTGGCACCTCAGCCCCAGGCCCGCAACGGCGTCTGGAAAAAAGCACCCTCCTCCTCTCCCGGTTGGCAGCGACACCAAACGTAGTGAACAAGAACACGGGTGGGGACAATCGAATGTATTTAGCTCGAAAATTACAGACTATCTCAACAAAATCTGAATACCATAAAGTCAATCGTCAATTTGCAAATTATCAATACATCATATCAAACTGTACTGTTCAAGTTGCAAATACTAATCCATTGTCTCCCATTTCATTGTTCATAGGTTTTCTTACAAATTCCATTGCGTTCTTGCTCTTCTTTTCTTGATCTTCTCCATTTTCTGCTGCCAGACATTACATCCTTTTAACGCACGTTATATACTACTTATGTCAATATAAGTAGCTCACACCACAGTAGTAGTGCAAATATTGGTAATAACCGTCGTAACATCTATTATAGAATTATTATTATTATTATTCATTGGATTAGTTTCATTTGATAATACAGTTTGCGATGTGATCAAGTGTAATGAACTATGTTGATCCGATTTTCGACTATTTATTGAATGTTCTGACACATTAGAAAGATCAGAATCATCAGCAAATACTATTGAAATAATCGCTGAACGTGTTCCACTATGAATTGCACGATGTTGATCACATTCTAAGAAGAAAATACAATTATAAACAGAAATCAATGACAAATGAAAATCATGAAGGTTGACACAATATTAGACTATATGTAGTGGACGAATAATTCAGGTGGAGCAGATCAATTTATTGTTTAATGCGAAATTAGAAAGTGCCTTTTTATGATATGAAAACCATACATAAAATAAAGCACTTGCACATCTTCCTTTAGTTGTCTTCCTCATGATTCATTCAATTCTATTGCTATTACAATTGCTCTCTGTTTACATTCCTGTTCGCTTCAATTCGATCTTCTCAATCTTCAGCTGCCAAGCATTACACTACTGATTGGTGTTATATACTGCCACATGAATTCTATTTGGCTGAACAATTAACTTGTTTATGTGGATTTTGGAAGTCGATCAATTGAATTCTTTTTCTAATAAGGTACCTAAATTGATAACTTATGGATAAAACTAAATAGATAACTACAGTTACATGAATTCCGTTTTTGTATAGGTCGTTTGAATCTTCCCATTAACGCTGAGGATTGTGATTGATTTATCCGTCGTATTGGCATATGTTCATTCTGTCTGTGAGGATATTGCCAGTAAGTCACAATGCATGACACACGTTCCATCGAATCATGGGACTCGTCAGCTGAATGTACTAATTACACTGTAATAAACGGTATCTTTCTAAGCTTTATACAGTTTGTCTTTACTGAACAACTTACTAATCATCAAATTCTGTAATTTCATTCTAATTCTATAATCTATTTAAATAAAACACGACTGTATATTGAGACATTCGATAACATATGAAACGACGAAATAGTCAAAAATCTTAACATTTAACAGCTACCGCAGATGTGCTTATACACTTGAAAAAATAAACTATGTATATGCGGTGGTGGTTACAGTTAAAAGGTCGACAACGAAGTGTACCTGCAATCTTCACGCCACTGATGCTCCCTGATCGACTTGATCCCGTGTCAGACAGCTTCATAGTCGTGACTATTCGCTCTTTTACAATTGATTGATTACTGGTTGATAAAATATCAAGGTGAAGTGGATCAGGTCATCCTTAGCGCAGATCCAATTCTATCTATGACATTGATCACTACCCAGTGATCAACCAAATGATTTAGATTTTGTCAAAATTAGGTAATTCATTTTATAATTTTATAATCTGACTAACAGTTGTCATTCAATGAATTGAAAGAAAAATAATTTATATATTGTGTAAAACCATATGCTGTTGAGATTTAGTATTGATGATAAGTGAATAAAAACTAAGAAGCAATAACTTGTGTACTACATTTTCAACTGAGTTAAATTCACAAAAATTCACTGAAACAAATTCTCATTGAAATTATGAATCGACGATCAATGTTGGACGGCCATTGAAAGCCTAGAAGCATTGGATGGTCATTTCGTCCTATTATGAAACTATTCAGTAAGGAATTTTCACAATCCTACGGTCACAACTGCGATTCAGGACCTTCGATCTCGCGCGCGAACGCCCGACCTCTAGACCACAGATACTGAGCCCAACCGTATTTCACTTCTACAGCAGTAATAAAACATGTATTTCAGCTTGCAAATTCACCAATTAATCTTGAGGTTTAGAAACTGTCGACTGAATTCCATAGGTTTATAACTGCGGTAACTACTAAAGAGTCAGTTTTTCAAGACATTAACCTGAAACAACACTTCACGTTGCGAACTGTATACAACAAAAATCAAATAACATAAGTTCAGTACTCTAAAGGCTGTCATGGTTGATTCAGTTTTGGGCGAATGAATTTTAATTCGACTAAGGATTATGATTACATACACTTTGCCAACTTGGAATTAAATAACGTTTTTTCTAATTTCGTTGAGTAGTAAATTGTTTTATCTGCCTAATATTCATGACTGAATACGTCTGGAATCCTTCCAGTCCCAAACTTTCATAAACAAGGATGGTTGAGCATGAGGTTAGCGACCTTATCCAGTAGAAAAGTAACGCGACAAAAAAATCGCCCGATCACCAGTATTCTGGAGATTAAACCGAATATCGTCGTGCCATGCTGTTTCCCAATTATTTAGTAGTCAAAATCCAGTATTCTTTGTACTTTGCAGCGATCGTCTATTCCATCATGCAAGCCACAAAAATTGTACAATCTCAACAAGATCTTTCATATATTAATCATATACGTTTATAGTATACTGTCATTTCTATTTTGAACATCATCTTATGCAACTTACAATTTAATTTGAATAAACCACCATTCCTATTCACTGCTGTATCCAGATCCATATCATCATAATGATCAATGAGATTGATTTTCTTTGTATTGATCAAATTTCCCGGTTGTTTTTCTTGTTATTGTCTTCGTTTCAATGAAACAGGTTCCAAATATGGATCAGTTGTTAGATATGGTAAATGAGTTATTGTACATTGAATTCGGTGTCGTTTGTTTTACTGTCACTGAAGTAGAATTTAATTTACCCAATGGATCATTCTTCACAATATTATTTTTACTACTACTACTACCCCTACTGTTATTGTTGCATAAATCAATCAATTCTGTGGATAGTAAGGAATCTATTCGACTACTTTCTTGTAAACTAGTTTTTGTTGTGTTACGTGATAACATATCATTGATGGTAGTGTGTTCATCTCCACTGCTATACATAGTATGATGATTTTGATGTTGATAAGCATCTTGATTAAATCATACTGGTTTTACTGTTTGAGTACTCCACATATTCTCGATAGAATTATGTTTTCTGTGTAAATCACTCGATTATGTTAGTGGAATGTAAAGAAAAGAGGGACGAAACATAAAATGAAAAGATATAACTTGTGCTTGTTTATATTATGATGATAACCACAAGTTGTTTTTAACCTGTTTTAGAAATACTGTTGGCTAAGAATATGCATCACATCTTCGGCCTCATAAAATCTAAGTATTCAATTTTGACAAGTTTTATGCGACCATTAACATGTGATTTACCAGTCAAGAAAGTTGAGTGCATATCATTAACACTTCCTGGGTTATTTCACCTCATTCAACTCCAATAGCTCTTCTTGAGAAAGCAAACAATTCAACACCAATTCAAAGAGATAATCTTTAGAAAGTAAAGGGTATGGAACAATAATTTCATCCTAATATGTAACTCTTCAGTGGTGTGCATCCATGATCCAATTGCAAAGTAAAGCCAAGACATTCAGATCTCTCAGAAGGCGGCTAGCCTTCATCCCAAGAGTCACCTCACCTAACGACTCCTAAGTGACCCTATAATAAATATTAGTAGTAGTCCATGATATAATCCATGACATTCAATAATCTGTCCAAAACCTTCTACAGCAACAATTAAACATGAATTGGAAATGCAGGTCAATCAATATTGAACGCAAAGGGGATAACTACAATAGTTATTGAATGACTATTTGCAAGTAGTGTAAACCTTTAACCGAAAATGTTAAGGAAAACTATGTTACCCACCTGACATTGATTGCAAAGCTGGTTGCTTCAACGGATGAGTAAAATGAATACCATTTAATGTAAATGAATTAAAATGTTGTTTATTAACCGGATAATGACTGGTCAATGGTAAAAATCAAATAATTCAATGTAGGTAATACTGGCATTGACGGCATCATCTCTGTACGTGATGTATTGAATGATGAAGACCTTAAAGATGATTTTTTTATAAGATAATCCATAACTATTACTATTATTTTTATTATGTTATCTTGATGGTGTGAACGATCAGTTACTTTGATTAAAACTACGGAAAAATGGTGATAATTGTCGAATACCATTACTAAAATTATTTCTACTTGGTGGTGTATATTTCCATGGTAAATCATTATCATTCACATTGATACATGAAATAAATTTTATATTTGAATTAGTGTTGGGATAAATAGACGGTGATGCATTGTCTCTATGGCCATTATTATTATTATTATTTGGCAAATTCATAGGATACTTTGTATAAATTCGTGAATTCGATTGATCATCATTTGCATACAAAGCGCTAAATACCCCGGAATCACTACTGTTGTCTGTTATCGTGATCAACGTCTTTGTACTTTGTCATGTTCTTTCACTCCCAGATCTTCTCGATCTTAAAAAAATGTCATTTTTTAACAAGGATGTTGATGAATCAATTCTTCCTTGTTTGATAACGATGATGGAGATGATGGAGATGATGATATAGGTATCGCAGGTAATGATGGTTCAGCAGTTGTACTAAATCTTGAAACATTGTCATTGACCAACAGCCCACTATTATTTGATGATGTCATCAAATGACGATTATTTGATAATTGTGGAGTGGATTTCCCTAAAAAACTACCAGATGATGCTGAAAGACCACGTTGAGATAATGATTGAATTTATTACCGTCTTTGTAACTGTGCATATAATCGGCGTTTTTTCGCATACTTCTACGCCATGATAACCATCATGAACGTGGCATACCATTCGGTGGATTCAATGAAAAAAATAAAATCGTTTCACTAGATGCTTCAAATCTTGAATGGTTATTATTCTTATTAATATGATTAGCATTATGATTAAAGACAGAGGGAGAACCATTATTACTGCTAATATGAGTTGTGGAATTCGTCCGTAGCCATGGTAATGAATTCATAATCTGTCGACGATCTGATTGTTGCTGTTGTTGTTGTTGTTGACACTATTATTATGAAATGACATGAGTGATTTTTTACATGTTGGAAATAATAAAGTATCTTTAGATCTACTAAATGTTCCCAATGAACAGGAACCAAGACGATTTGACGATGAAATTGCAGCTACATCAATAGTTTTATGATAATGTTCAAATAATCTAAACAGAAAAATACAATGAAGGATAATCTAGACGATTTTCTATTGAAAAGCATAATGTACATACGAAAACAGATTGGGAATGAAGTATAGATGATCAATTTAATACGTGATATCAATCGAGTAATTTATTAGCGATTATTGATTTAAATTGTGTTAGTAGGAGGAGACTGTTCGAGTAAGTTGAAGACAGTCAATAGGAAATCTTCTTTGACCTAGGGGTTATATGTTTTATGACACTCACTAGTAAGGCATATATGTAATCTTTATAGGAAACTGATATTACTTGTGGGATTTAAACCAACGTCATAGTTAACAGAATTCCATCAACATTACAAGATTGCACAAATGCGATATTGGCTGCTACTTAACAATCAGTCAGTTGTAAGCTGAGAAAAGACATCAAGCGTCATGACATGAAATTGATTACAGTGCTGCCAATCTTTATGATCTATGTCATTTTTCGTATTGCTTTTTCATCAGATCCCCACTTACTTCTTCAGCTGTATCCTACAACATTTGTGCTTTGCTTACCAACAATCATATGATTGATAGTTTGGTAAAGTTTCTTATTCATAGTGATAATCTTATTTGACTATGATAAAGTAAATGAACAATTAATGGCACAGAAATTGTCGGTAGAAATTCATCAACACCTAGGAAATGGCTAGAAAGTATATTTCTTGCAGTCGGTTTTTGATGCGATCTTCTCAGGAAGTTCAGCAAAAGCAATGCATTATGCATCATATCTTGGTTGGATGATTACTAACTTCGAAGCTCCTAACATATTATCGTCATACATAAACCACAGAATTCAACTGTTCATTCGACACCTCTCACTTTTTCCATTCTCTTTAAGTGATAAGTGTATGACATTTCTATGTAGAAGGACTAGAATGAGGTTAGAGAATCAGTATACATTATTCAAGTATTAAATATATCAATAATAAATGGAGTCGGTAAATAATTCATGTTAAAGAAGTATACTAGACATCCACTGATGTGTATAATTACACTGACAAATCAACCATCATACAGTGTTACATCCCACATCAATACACAAATATATATATATATATAATAAAAACCTACAACTTACTTATGCCTTAGACGATAGACAACAAGAAGTGTGGCCACTTGGAATATTCATATTCCAAGTATAGAGCCTAAGTCAACTAAAAATAAAGAGAAAAAGAGCTTTCATAAATATACATTTCAAAGAAATAGAAATAGTTCCTTTTCAAATATTCAGTGGACAAATAACAAACAAACAAACAAACATGCACTATCAACTATCAGACTGTAAACCGCAAGTGTGGAACATGCTCTCTTCATTGATCAAACAAATTCGGATTGTAGTATCAACTAGCTGCGATACATTTTGGAGTAAGTCTTGAAGTACAAAAATATGTACTTGACAAAAACAAGATAGATTGGATGCATAACTCATCGGTAAATCTCTACAGATACACATGACAGATGTATAAAAACTGACCATACACGGCATCATTCACAGAACACAAAAACGATGACATTGACATTCAAAATAACTGGAAATAGTTTACGAATCATTGAAGAAGAAGAAAAGAGTGTGTAGAGTATATAAAAGAATCAAGTATTTCAATTATATATTCATATTCAATAGAGATGCAAGAAGAAGGACTACCAAGGATGGTTCAAAACTGATGCAACGTAGGATTTGGATATAAAGCGGAGTGTTCATTATTAGAAAAATCTTCATTCACAATATGGATTAACTAAAATCATGTATATACACATATATCCTGTAGGACTGTATTGTAAAGAGATGTGTGTTACACATGAACATCCTATTCTACCTACAGAAGTCGATTTCACTTTACACAATTCAGATTTGTTTGTGAATTAATATCATGAAAGCACCAAATAGTGCGGTTAATCCATCTGTCGATTAGATTAAAATAAGCGACATATATACATATAATCAACTTTTTCAAACATACAAGATGATTACAACAAGTACAATGTTAAAAGTTTGACAAATAATGCATTCCTTAGGAGAAAACGCCATTGAAAATATGCTAAAATATAAGGAGTATCACTACTCTAAGGAATTAATGAGTTTAAACTTTGTATGCTTATTAGTAGTATAAAACATAAAGCGTAATTAAGTCAACATACATTAGGCAAGCATAAACATGTCATGTTTTGAAGGTTAAATTCACTCGATGAAAAGAAACAGATATATTTGTATATAGTTATGTAATATATACATGCTCTGGTACGGCCGAGACTGGGAAGAGTCAGCTCTCCCTCTTGAAATGCTCTCACATGGCCGCGTGCATAAAACCACTCCAAAAGAAGTCCTATTCACTGCCTTCTCGTGTCATTACTGTTGTTTACGAAATTGAGAGGACGAAAAGCGAATGTCTGGCGCTTCAAACAGGTTGGTGTACACGGAGATTCCACCTAGAGGAGTTGGAAAACCCTGATTCCAAACCAATGATGTACGTAGACTCCAGTATACTGAGGGAACAAATGGCGTATGAACTAATCATTGGTCACCGGGTACCATGGCACTGCATCTCCTGACGTTACTACACTGCTTTGCAGAATTGACTGTTAGATCAAAGGCTCCAGGTGTATGGCGCATATATATCTGATGCCCCTTGTACCAATATTTATGTGTTTAAATAAATAATAATACATGCAGAACACGAATGAAAGATAAATTAACTACGCCAGTATATTAAAAACAAACACAGTTAATCAATGACTAATCAATTATTAGAAACCGGAAAACATTTAACACATAAAACTGTAAGTGGCTATCAGGACTTAGCAGCTAAGTGGATAACGCGATAGCGTTTGAAGCAATTTCACTGATAGTCAATGTTCACCTTTGCATATAACTGTAGTTTAAAACAATTGTCAACACTGGTCATTCATAATTTATTTCATTGTTTGAATAGGGCCTGCTACTTTAGTAAAAAACTATATAAGTCATCTTAAAAGCTTCCTTATTCCTTTGACCAGAAATATAAAGGATGAGAGATCTTATGATAATTAAAGAAACATGTGTTATCTTCTAATTACAGAGTAACATTGACAAGTCGGTGCACTTTAAGCATGTTACGCACCTGTAATGAAATGCAATTTCAAAGACGAAGGGTAGGCAACAAATTATCAGCTAGATGTGTTATTGAAAAAAATTCGATTATCCCCGAAGTCAAGGTCTTCGACAACATTTCCTTGTCTCACTCAGAGGGACAAACCTATGCTTATCAATGATCTATGTAACTACTTATTCGGTTTTGTCAGTTAAAGGTTCATAATCACTTCTCAGTCTTTTGACTAGGATAACTGGTTGGACAAGGGCGCGGAAAGAGCATCTATCCAAATCGAAAAATATCGAATGCAGACTTCTTGAACTATCTCAAATTCAGTTATCCATCACTTCCAGGTTCTTTCAATATTTTCTACAGACTAATATCAGTTCCTGATAATAATAATTATAACCTTAACTACTAACTGTACAGATAATTGATTAACATTTGCATAGACAAGTAAATAAATAAGTAAATATAGAAAAAGAAGCAACAGATCGTATTTAGAACCATTGAATGAAGAAAATGTGTTCAAATACAAATTCCTGGTTGTTATTATTATTATTCA